GCGACAGGGCGAGACTCCGTCTCAAAAAAAAAAAGAAAAAGAAAAAGGGAACCTGAGGGCTTAGGCTGGCATTGCAGCCTGCCCCTTGGGGACTTTTCTGGCCTCCTCGCTGCTGAGATTTTTGCTGACCTTGTCCCAAGGCCAGAAGTAGTTTCCCCCAGCCCCAGCCGTAGCCCCAGCCCGACGATGCTTCCATCAACCAGTGGCTGCCAGATGTGGAAGGTAAATCTGGGGAACTAAGGTTATAGAAGGGCCGGGCTCTGGCCTAGACTTGTCTCCTGTCGCTTCCATTTAGGTTTGGATATTTATTGAACATCTACTTCGTACCGGCACTTGTTCTAGGCTCTGACAATAGAGCAGTGAACAAACCGAAGTAGCTGCCCATTGGGTTTACAGTCTAGAACAGAAAACAGGAGATAAACAAGTAAACACATATATTCATTAAATTCCCCCCACAACCCTCAGAGTTAGTAGAATTATTTCCATTTAGAGATGTAGAAATTGAGCCGAGACACAAATCCTGGTCCCTCCAGATTGTCATCTCCCAGCCCATTTCCCCATCTGTAAATGCGGGTAAGAATGATAGAGCATTACTTCGCTAAGCTTGCGGGAACCGTGGACCTAGACGTTGAGCACGACAGGACAGCTCTTTAGAATATTATTTGGCTAGGTAGTAGTTGTGGCTACCTGCCTTCCAGGACCTAACTCCTAACCCCAAATTGTGGTGATTGATCAGCTGGGCAGCTGCCTGTGGACATGAGCAGGCAGGTGCGGCAGTGGGCCTATCCCTGAAGTGACTGCTTCTTGAATGGCCCCACCCCTGTGTCAGTACGGTGTATGAGGAAGACCGCAGCTGCCCACCCTGTGAGGGGGAAGGAGACAGACAGATAACATCCTTACAATAATTGCAGAGGTGCACAGAGAAGATCAGGTACTGGGTTGACCACCAGGTCTCACAGCAAATCTTTTCCCAGTACTGAAGACACAGAACCCACTTTACTCTCTTCCCCCACTGACACTTGTGTTTATTATTATTATTATTATTATTTTTTTTTTTTTTTTTTTTTTTTTTTGAGACAGAGTCTCGCTCTGTCACCCAGGCTGGAGTGCAGTGGCGCAATCTCGGCTCACTGCAAGCTCCGCCTCCCGGGTTCACGCCATTCTCCTACCTCAGCCTCCCCAGTAGCTGGGACTACAGGCGCCCGCCACTGCGCCCGGCTAATTTTTTTCTATTTTTTAGTAGAGACGGGGTTTCACCATGGTCTCGATCTCCTGACCTTGTGTTCCGCCCGCCTCGGCCTCCCAAAGTGCTGGGATTACAGGCGTGAGCCACCGTGCCCGGCCTTATGTTCATTTTGGTATAATGTTTGCTAATAAAAGCAACAATCACTACCAAACGGAAGGAGCCTAAACAGAAAGGAACAATCATACAATGTTTTGGGAGGAGGTGTGGTAGCAGAGAGGCCTGGACTCAAGAAAGCCATATTAGCAGGGGTAGAGGATTCTGTAACTAGGTCCGCCAGGAGAAGTCTATTGCAAGTAGGGGTCCCACTCATAGCGGATACTTTGTAGCGAGTGCCCAGCAGGCCAGTTTTTTCGAGGCATGGGAGCAGTGGAATGGGCACTGGCTGAGACAGAACAAAAGCAGAACCTTGACTGCCTGTTCCTTCCCTGTCTCCACCAATCAGGAAGAGCCACCTGAATTGCCTCAAAGCAAGCCCAGCTCTCCTCATCTCCTAGCGAACTGTAACACCAGCACCCTGCTCCATCCCTACCCCCACCTCCCATACTTAAAACTTTCCTATTCTATTATCAATCAATTGGCTATTTTTTCCCTTTTTCTTAAGATTTTATTTTTTTCTCTATTTGTCTTTTTTCTGCTTAAGTATGAATTGGCTCTTTTTATTTTACCCTTCTCAGGCTGTCTACACTCAGAAGCTCTGTTCATATGCACTGAGTCTAATGACAGAAGCCAATAAAGAAAAGGAAAAATAAGTTTTTTAGATACTTAGGTTAAATGTGGGAATACCAACTTGGGCAATATAGCAAAAACTCATTTCGACTAAAAGTTTAAGAAATAAAAAATTAGCTTGGCATGGTGGTGCACACCTGTAGTCCCAGGACTTTGGGAGGCCAAGGTGGACAGATCACCTGAGGTCAGGAGTTCAAGACCAGCCTGGCCAACATGACGAAAGCCCTTCTCTACTAAAATTACAAAATTAGCCAGGTGAGGTGATGCACGCCTGTAATCCCAGCTACCCGGGAGGCTGAGGCAGGAGAATCACTTGAACCTGCGAGGTGGAGGTTGCAGTGAGCCAAGATCATGCCACTCACTCCAGCCTGGGCAACAGAGTGAGACTTCGTCTCAAAAAATGAATAAATAAATAAATAATACAATAAAAATAAAAAGATAAACAGTATCACTTATTGGAAGAGGCACACGGGGCCCAGGCCAAAGTCCAGGTTCAGTTGCTGCCAGCTTGCAACCCTGGTTAGGGGATCTGCCCTTTCTGCATCTCCCACGTCGAAATACCTCTCCC